CAACACCACCACCACCACCACTTCCACCTCCATCAACAACACCACCACCACTACCACCACTTCCACCTTCATCAATATCACTACCACCACTACCTCCACCTTCACCTTTACTACCTCAACCACCTCCATCAACACCACCACCTCCTCCACCTCCACCTTTACCACCACCACCACCCCTATCAACACCTTTACCATCACCTCCTCCACCCCCTTTACCACCACCACCTCCATCAACACCACCATTCCCCTTTACCACCCCCACCTCCACCCCCAGAAGATCTGCAGGACACCCCCTCAGCACCCTTTCCCCCAAGGCATGTTCTCTCCTTGGAGCATTGGTCAGCTCCTTACCACACCAGTGCCTGTGCCTGCCAATGGGAAGATGCTGTCTGGAGCTACGTCTTCTGGGTCACATTCCGTAACTGCTGTGGTCGTTGTGAGGCACCATCGAGTCCGTTCTGACCCACAGCGACCCCGTGCCCAACAGAAGGAAGCACCACCTGGTCCTGGTCCATCCGCATCCTCGTTCCCAGGCCTGAGCCCATTGCTGCAGCCACCGTGTCTGCCCATCTCACCAAGGGCCTTCCTCCCTGTACCAGGCACTTGTCCCTTGCCAGGGACTGGTCTCCGCTGGCAACACGTCCAAAGGACGAGAGTGCCCCTGAAGAGCGCTCTGGCTGTACTTCTCCCAAGACAGATGACTCCGTAACGAGATGTATGTAATTGCTCTCCGAACAGAGACAATCACACCACGTGTCTGCCACACCAAAAAGTCGTTGTCACGGCTTAGCAACACAGCAGCTTGGTTCTCTATTGAGAACAGACCGGAGCTGCGCCCGGCGTCTAAGGAAGGGGGCAGAGCGAATGCACGCGGTCTGTTTGATAAATCACAGGAATTGTCGCATTGACTACGGGATGAGGTCATTGCCCTTTGCAAATGCCTTTCTCTCTTCATTTCAGGTGGTACCTCAAGAAGTTCAAAGATTACCCGAAGTCCAGGAAGATCATATTTCCATATATCTATTAAGCGCCTTGCCGAGAACCTTCAGGGTCCTTCAGCGAGCTGGAAGGACCCCTGTGTGGGAGCCGTGCTAAGTGAATGTAACCCCTGTGATTCCTCTCTTCCCAGATTTGTCTAGGGATCCCCTCTCCCATGGTGGCGGCCAGCCCTGGTGACTCATGCAGCTTATTTCTCAGATTGTGATCTCCTCCCCACCTCATGTGGCTGGGGTGGGATGGGGGTAGCTTAGGGTTCCCGAGAGCCACGTTCATGAGCCCTTTGGGCAGTCTCGTGATTTATAAGGTCGGCACCTGGACACCACCAGCCACTCCCCGGGAGAAGGCCGGGGCTGCCTGTTCCAGTAAAGATGTGCAGCCTGGGGACCCACGGGGCAGTTCTACTCTGCCCTACAGGGGTGCTGTGCATCGTAATCAGCTGTAAAGGCCAGCGTCATGGCTGTTCCCAGCAGCCCTCCCCCCAGGGGTGTGGGTGACCACCACCACCACCTCTCAGGGCTCGGAGGGAGCTGTGCTGTTCCGGGGCAGGCCCGCGGGGGACACAGCCCAGTGAGGGGCCTGATTCTAAGAAGCGCTGTCCACGTGCACAGGACTTGACTGTGAACAGGCAGGCTGCCCCTGACGGCAGACTCGCATCTGACCTCATCTCCCTGACCCGCTGGGTCATCTCCCTGACCCGCTGGGTCATCCCCCTCCAGTCTGCATCCCATGAGGACTGACTGTGTGCTGCACCGTTGGTGTTTTCTGTGTCCCTTCCTGGTGCAAAGAGGCCTGGAAACGCGCTTTCACGCCCTGGGCTCTCTTGAAGGACCCTGGCAGGAACATAGGTCTGAGTGCTGCCAGCACATGGACATGGCATCCTGGCACGTCCCAGGGGCCCACAGAAGAGATGCCTCCCCCAAGCCGACTGCACACGGGGCTCCCAGGTGGCAGCCCCTGTTCCTCCTGCATCTCCTCTGCAGACGTCGGTGCTGGAGGGGACATGCAGGTGAGAGGCTGCCTCTACTCCCTGGCCCAACGTGCCCACGCCACCCTCCATCCAGAGCCCAGAGGAGGTTGGGTGCCTCCAAGCCAGGAGCTCGCTCCTCCCCCAGGCCCGAGTCCATCTGCGGTGTCCTGGATGCCTTTCTCCCCTGACCAGAAACACTGGGCAGGACAGAAGCACCGGCCATCGGCTGAGTGACAGCAGTGACAGCGTGTGTCCTGACTCATGGAGACCCCGAGAGGTGGAGAACGCCCACCAGGGGGAGCAGTTCCTCTTTGCCCTGCGGGGTCTTGATGAGCCAGAGGCCACGTAGTGGCACACAGCAACAACAAGGGCTGTGGGTGTTAGACTCCTGGGGTGGCCAAACCCACAGGCTTGTCTGCTGGCATCGCAGCACTAAACAGGTGCCGGCCAGGCGTCCTTTCTGTCCAGACCATTGCTTGGACCCCTACAACCAGACTCCTGGTCACCCCTGCCTTCCTCAGGGACACGCAGGAACTGGAGCAAACCTGGGAGGGTGTGGGTGCTGTGTGCCCAGACACCCAAAGAAGCTCCTTCACTGTGAATTCCGGGCAGGGCCTGTGGCCCAGCTGCACAAAAACCTGGGTTGATCAGAGATGAAACTCAGGGTGCAGTACCACCTGATTGTTGTGTCCCGCCAGCTAGTGGAGAAGGGTGCTGCTCTGCCCTGCACCCCACTCCCCAGAAACCAGCTCCCCGAATTGCCTTGGATCAATGTGTAAATCAGCATAATGCAGAGATGAATAAAATGAATGGTGGAGAAATGAATGATTCTGGTTGCTTTTGTCTTTGTGCCTCCCCCAGCAGCGGCCTTCTTCATCCCCCTGCTGAGAATTGTCGCTTGCTCAAGCACACACGCGCGCGCGCACTCTTGGTCTGCCACTCAAAGCGCAGATTTCCCCAAGCCCTTTCCGTTTCGCCCATGCTGGGAGTGTGCTTCCTCTTGGGTTTTCCGACCCGGGGCCTGCGACAGGTTTCATGGAAACAGGGGTGTCTCCTCCAGCTGCCCTCCACGTTTTCTGCTCAGCCTTGGACTTCATCCTGCCTTCCACCCGCCCGAGTACTCCAGGGACAAGAGCACGCTTCAGTCTCTCCGAGATGTTCCTTTCTCCCCGTCTTTCTCATGGCCTTTGACCGTCTTTACGGAGGACGCTCTTGATGCTCCGCAGTAGACAGTTTATTCCGTCCCCGGCGTCTGTTCTCAGCCTGCCCAAGCCTGTTCTCTTAGGGCAGCAGTTCTCAATCTGTGGGTTGTGACCCCTTTGGGGGGGGATCGAATGACATTTTCACAGGGGTTGCCAGATTCATAACAGTAGAAAAATGAAAGTGATGAGGTAGCAACAAAAATAATGTTATGGTTGGGGGGTCACCACCATGGGGAATTGTACTAAAGGGTCTCAGCATTAGGAAGGTTGAGAACCACTGACTTAGGGCGGCCCAGCTGCTGTGTGAAATGCAAATAGCAGAGCTTCCGGCATCTTAGCAACAGCCGGGCCGCCCCTGTCTGACAGACGCACAGACGATTCAGTGGTGGGGACCTGGGAAGAAGCTCAGGATGGCCAGGCTCGTGCTGATCAAGCCCCGAGAAGACATTACAGCTAGCTCAAAATCATGACCACACCACGCATCAGCAAGAACACTGAGGATCCGGCTGGAGCTGGGGAGAATGGGAAGTGCATTCAAAGCCACTCCATTGGCTTCCAAAAAAGTTCAATAAAGGTTGTAACACGCCGCCCCAGGCTATTTGCCCAAGAGAAATAAAAGCAAATGGTTTAATAGCAGCTTTCGTTGTCAAAACTGGCAGCAACCCAGTTGTCTGAGTAAATAGACACTGGTCTGTCCGTGGAAATGGAATACTTCCCCGCCCTGAGAAACATGAGGGGCCGACACCAGCAATCACACTAGCGAGTCTCAGAGCTACGCTGAGTGAAAGAGCCAGCCCCAAAGGAGGACATCCTGAACTGCGGCCAGGGGCATGCTGGCTGGGGACACGAGAAGGAAGGATTTACAGAAAGGTCATGAGGACACAGGAGGGAGTTGAAGGAGACCTTCATGGTCTTGGCCAGGAGCACACACGTGTCAAAGCCCATCCAACCACACACTTCAAGGGGAAGTAGCTCGCTGTACACCCATCAGGCCTCAGTGTTGGAAAGACTAAGTCACTGCACCCGAGAGAACAAGCTGTCTAAGAACAGAAGTCTGAAACCCAAAAGTCAGCGGGAGGTAAACCGGGGCCTCTCTTAGAAGGAACAGCAGCAGCAAAGCAGGACCACTGGACAGCTGCTCGGGAGGGACAGCACCGTCGGAGCGCACGGTAGTGACACGATTGTAAATTAACCAGACACTCCTCATGAGGGACCCCTGGGTGTGTGGTGGTCCTGCATGGGGCCTAGAGCCACGTGGTGGAAAGTTCGAACCACAAGCAGCTCTGAGGGAGAAAGACTTGGCCGAATATCCAGGGGTGGGTCATGATGAGCCAGCACTGCTCCATGGCAGGGAAAGAGACAGCCTGGCTGGGGGTGGAGTCAGACCTGTCAATCAGGTCACAGTCTAACGCCAGCCCTTTGGGGGTGTGGCCTCCATTTAAGAAGAACCCCCGGAACCTCCTCCTTTCTCTGTCACTCTGCCCTCCTGCCTGCTGGGACGCTGGTGGCCACCCTGAAAGTAGCTACCTGCCTGCCATGTTTCCACTGACCTTGGATCCACACATCTCTGCCTGCACTGGCCTGTGAGCTTCCTGCACCCTGCATCACTGCAGGTGGCTGCCTGAGTCTGAAGAAGGACCGGTGGACTAGTCTCGGGCTTAGAGCGTTGGACTGGGCTGGGGCGCTGTCTTGATGTATAATTCCCTTTTGATATGAAGCTCTCTCTTGTACATAGATGAGTGTCACTGGATTCATTTCTCCAGGCAGCCCGGTCTCACGCAGAGAGGCAGAAGAAGAGAGGGAGGACATTGGCTTAGGCTTACAGGCTGCAGACTTTGTCCTTGAGTTCCACGGGTGAGAGGACTGGGGGAGAGAAGGGAGAGAGAGAGTAAGTTCCATCAAACTGTCAGCACAGAGTTTGGAGGAGACAATCCTCTTCCGGATGGGCTGATGACCTCATGGGACAGCACACCACCACGGGTAGTCTCCTCTCAGACCCCGGGGGAGTGTGGGCTAGCTGAGTGGGCAGAACACTCACTACCATGTGGCGGTTACAGAGAACCATTGTCTCCAAGCCTTCTCGTTCCAGCACCATTCCCGCACTGCCCCCTCACAAATGTTGACTGTGGGCCCGAGGAGCAAGGGCACCAGGATGGCCCGGTCCCTCTGGGGAAGAACAGAAGCACGTGGCAGGCGATTCGCTAGTGGCTGATGTATTGCCTTTGGCAGAGAGAGGGGAGGCCCGGGATCCCAGGCTGTCACTGGAGGACACCGAGGGGGACTGGATTGGTGTGAGGTCCCAGCTGTGAGTATCTGCAACAGTACCGACTCGATCAGGGAAGAGAGGGGATGGGGGGCTAGTTAATGCACATGTCCTGTCTTCTTCGCTTGAGAGAAAGGAAAGAAGAAGAATGTTTACGTGTCTCTAAACAAGAATGGCCACAAGACACTTGCAGGTTAAAGATAGTCTATCACATGCGGGTGGAAAACAGGGGAGCCCAGAAGGAGGGTGGGCCCCAGGCTGTGAGGAGAGGGGAGCCGGATCACAAGAGGAGAGGGGCAGTGAGGTCCTGTCCCTATCAGGGAGACCAGAAGCTCACATCTCCTCTGGCACACGGGCTGGTCAGGTGTGTCCGCTCACCTGTTATCCCTGTCCACAGAGAGGGCCCTCAGGACCACGGACAGGGCCACATGGCCGACAGGGCAACCCCTACTCCTGAAGGCACAGCTTTCTGTCCCTCCAGGCTTTGTTGCTGGGGGGTCAGGGGGGGTTGTGCACCTGTGAGGACCCTGGGGAGCCCCCTGCCTTTGTACTGTCTCCCAAGACTGTCCAGATGCCAGGGAAGGTTACTCTGCCAGCAACCATCAGGCTCACCTTGGGGAGAAGATCCACACCCTGTCAGACTGGGAGGAGCAGGGAGAGGGCGGCGCTGCCCTCAGAGCCCTGTGCTCGCTGTGCAGACCGCTGTGCCCACCACCACCACACAGCCTGGTGTTTGCCCGGTGGGGATGAAAGGGCAGGGCGTTCCTCAGAGAGGACTTGGTGCCTCAGCCCCCTATGGTAGGAGCAGAGTCGGGAGACCCATCATGGGCAAAGGGCCCCCATGGGGGTGAGAGCCAGGAAGGGCAAGGGGCTTCCTGAGGCTGTGCCTACTGGCATGCTGTGGACATTAAATGGGAAGGAGAGGCGAGGGGCACTGTCAGACACAGGCAGGTGTGAAGCTTATCGAGATGCCCCCTCCCCTGGTGGGCAAGAACGCTGGAAAGATCCTGTCACTGAAGCCCCTGGGGACATGGCAGGAGACCGGCCCCTGCCAGAGTTGCCCCACGAAATGATTTCTCTGGGAGCACGTGAAAGAGGAAGTCGGGGTGGCTGCGGCAGGGCTGGGGGTCTGTGAGGAGACAGTGCTGAGGTCCAGCTGAGAGAAAAGGAAGGTCCAAGAGGACAGGGGGAGGTGGGGCTGGGGTGCTGGAGGTGGAGGTGGAAGGCGGGTCTCTAGATGGGCAGAGACCAGTGCCAGCTCTTGTCTGCAGAAGAAAGATGGGTGGCAGGTCAGCCCATGAAAGCTTACCGTCTTCACTCCCTGGCATTGGGCTGGTTCGGACTCCAGGCCACCTTCTGGGTCAGAGGGAGCCCTGTCCACAGGCCTTCCAGGACCACGAGCCTCTTCAGAAACTGGACGCCAGACTGCTCTCCCCGGAACAGCAGTGGGCAGGACCAGCAGGCCTGTGGTTAGCAGCCAAGGGCCCAGCACAGGCAGTGCCCGTGCACAGGGTAAAGGGGCTCCTGCCCGGCCTGGGCTGCCTGCTCCTGTGACCAGGCCTGACCGGCCGTCTGCCCCGGGAGCTGCAGCAGCTGAGGCCTGCAGACAGGACTGATGGGCAGGGAAAGAGGATCCGGATGACAGCCAGTTACCATTCTGTCAGCACCCACCCCGGTGATCCCGGTGTGTCAGAGTACAACCGGGTCCATTGGTCTTCAATCTTGTAACCGCACGGAATCAGACCTCCGGGTCTTTCTGAAAAGCACCTTTTGGGGGGCTTGAACCTGGAGTCTTAGTGTAAGCAGCTGAGCCTGGGGCCATTGACTTCAACCACTGACTCCCAAATAGCACAAAGACTTCCTTCCACCCAGTCCAGCAACCACTCTCGCCCTCACCCCACTCCCTCTCCCCTGGGCCTCTCCAGTTCGTCCCTCCCTCTCTCTGCCTCCTCAGAAGGCTTCATCTGGTCAGCACCATGGGAACATGGCCAAAAGGTAGTGTTTGTCTCCAATGGACCATCTATCGGCATAAAAGCCACATCATCTTCTCCACTTTCAGCAATGATCCTGGAAATTCCGCTCATCACGTCTGACACCTGAGCCACACACAAGAGACGAGATTTCTTCTTCCTGTGCTTCCCCTTTGAAGAGGATTCATGGGGTGGGGTGGGGGGCGATGTAATAAATGGCACAATGCCAATTTAAAAAGGGTACCTTCATTGAATCGAGATCGCACCCATGCAAATGAATGAGAGCCCGGCTCCATCCTCAGAGCCCCGAGCTGGGTGCCCTGTGCCTTGTACTGCTCAGTGTCAGCATGTCGGTTCCAAATCACATCGACCCAGAGGCCACACGGTTAG